CATGTCTCTTACCTGATAAGGGGGGGAAAAACCTGACATATTTGTAGCTTTCAACAATAACAACAAAACTTCTAAAATTTTCTATATTTTGAAGGCAGTCCAGAAATTATTTGTTAATCAGAAATGTTCTAAAATTTAAAGTTATTTTTTTACATATTTTCTGTTCAATGATCCATTTAAAAAGTTTTGTTATGTTTAAAGAGAAACATTGTGAAATGACTATGATTATTCCACACTGAATAGACTGCCTTTTTCATGGATTGTTCCATGTAGAATATAGACAAAATATTGATGGCATGCAGCCAAATTTTTCTTTTTGCTCGGTTTTCTTTTTGCTCAGATTTTTGTCAGAATGCACAAAAAATGGCTTAAGTAAGATAGAATCATGACACAGTGTATAATGATGGGTTTTATTATTTCTTCCCATGCCCTATTGGTATTGCAAAATGTCTGCCACTGAGATGAAATTATTGATAACAAATTGGATTAATGGGATTAGAAAGTGGTCTAGGAGAAAGCCAGGTCCAGATAAACTTTCCTTAGAGAAAAGGGCTTCTAATGTCATCAACCCATATTTTAAAAGTGTGATTTGTAGAATACAGGTCAAAGCACCTTTAAATTGAGCTGGATTTCTGGTGACTTCAGAGAAACATCCATGGAGATTTCCTGGTAATTGCACCAATGGTTTGCCATTGCCTTTTATAGGATGTTTTTTTAATGCTGATTTTCATACAGAGCCCTAGACTTTTTTGATGATCTCCCAAACAGTTAACAAAGCAAAACAGATTGTTTTCCTTTTCAAGATCAATCAATCAGTGAGCTCCTCCCCAAATTACTGTTCCTAGTGGGCGTGGCAGAAAACCAGGTCATCCATCTTTTTCCTTTTGGCAGACAGTTCTGTTAAGCACACCTGGGTTTCAACTACACTTTTTAAAGTTTCTATTTTGTTTAGTTTCTTATCTCTAAAAGTTGACCAGCTAGTTGAATGCTGATTTATTTTAACCCCTGCTGGATTTTCTTTTTCTTGTTCTTATCCTTTGATCTTTTTTGACAATCTTTTGTCATAAAAGAAACACAACATGGCTTGAAGTAATAAGTGTTTGGACTTGATTTACATTTATTTTGGACCTTTACTATACTTTGAATATTATTTTTTTAAAAAATGTTTTTAATATGGATTGAAATAGTTTCCTTGCCTCTCTATTTTGACAAATATCCTCCTTGTCTCTGAAGAAATTTATTTCTCTGTTGCCAAGTTACACCAGAGCAACAGGATCTTTTGGTTATATGCAAATCCAAGTTAAAAACTTTTTTAAACATTTTGAGAAAATAATGCTTGCAAAAAACCCTATCCAAATGCAAATAATTGGAGTTAAATTAGATTCACAAAAGAAATTGAATTTGAAAGTGTAGATTCCATGAAGGAGATTAAAAGAGGTACAGATGTTATAAATTTAGAACTACCTGAGGGGATTATGCATGGCTGCATAATGCATGCCTTCAGCCTTGCACTTTCTTACAACAGCAGAAGACTAACTGACTGACTGGTCAAATGAAGAGGACTGGAGAATGGATTTATCGTACTTGAAAACAACTTCAACTGGACATTTTGGGGAATATAGATCAACTTTGGAGAATCTAATATATTTAACTGGACAATAATTGAAAAGAGATGGCATTAAAAAACAATCCTGGATATTTAATCCAGGATGAATCAGAGTTAACTGCTAGGATGATTGGAGAGATAAGCTGTAGTAAATTTCCTGCAAGTTGAATACAATAATAGTTTGTTAACAGAGGGTTCTGATATTTTACTCTTGCCTTTTTTTGTTTCTTCACCAACTTGAGTTATGTATAAAAAATAATAAAGGCAGGAGATAAAGTAAATTAATATTTCTAACACTTTTGGGATTGCAGTTTGCAGATATTTTACAAGCAATAATGAAATGCCATTCAGCCATCCTTTAATCAACTTTCTCATATTGATGTTTTCCAAGTACACATAACACCCATCCATAATTTCTAGCTAGCATAATTACACATCCGCAATTTCTAGCTAGCATAGCCCAGTAAAATTTCAAAAGTTGTAGTTTAACACATTTAGAATCAAGTTGCTGAAAATTTATTTAAGACATGCAATGGAGCTCATTTTAGAATTCATACACAATTATTTGAGAGTGCACTTTTGTCACTTTTACACTATCGGTGTAGTTGTCTACAGGTACATTATACAATTCTTCTAGTTCATTAGTTTTAGAAATGTTTTCTTGATAATTTGCACCTAAAACTGTAAACTGCATTGCTAATATAGAATGATTGTTACAATTCTAATATAGAATGATTGTTATATTTAGCTAGCTGAACACATACACAAACTTTATATTAGCATAGCCTGTAAAATCCATGTTAACCAACAAGATTTTTAATAATTCTCCATAGATGACTCTGCTTGTTCTCCATAGTCATTCGTGCATATTCAAGCTGAAATATATTCTTATTTCAAAATACGGGAGTAAATATAATTCATAACTTTTAATTAAAAACGATTTGGGTCAAAACCAACCTAACTTTCCACATTTGGACACACGCCCTTTCTAACCCGGATGTTTTGAATTTGGGGGGGGGGGGCGGGGTTCCTTCTTTTAAAGTGCTTCCTAATTTTCTCTTTCGTCATTTAGATGCGCTTCTTCCGATTCTCTGCCTTGTCACAGATATAGAAAAATGAAGAATGGCACAAAATACGCCTCTCACGACATTTCCCCTTCGTGTTGTAACAAGCAAGGGTGAAAAGACGGCTCCATCAAGTCTAGTTTGGCTTTTTGATCGCCTTCATACAACTAATTTGGCAACAGAGACGATGGGTTTTTCCAGAAAAATTGGATTACCTGCTCCCGGGATCTCCTAGTGCCTCCTTCTCCAAGGGCTACGGAGCTCTTCTCCCGATCCGCTGGTGATCGATGGTGAAAAAGAATTCAATTCTTCACCTAAAAAGGAATCTCTACAATGAGACACTCAAAGCGGTTAACAGGGAGTCAAAATTCACTTTTTTGCAACGGCGTTTCAAATTTAGCGTGCTTGCATGCCCGCGTACAAGCTTTGCAACTAAATGCGATCGGCGTGATAGAGGAGAGCTCTTTTAGAGTGGTGGCAAAGAATCAGCCTGGGAACGCCTTTGCCGATTAGGCCATTGTGTTAAAAGGCAAAAGCTGCAGCTCAGGAAAACTTGTGCCTTTTAATGGGCTAGTCAAGAAAAGGTGCCCCGACTGAATGTGACCGAGGGAAGAAAGGCAAAGAAACGTTTTAACTATTCTGATCCCGGTTGCAGTTGGGAAGCCGCTTTATAGGTGCATGTTTGGATGGAAATCTCAGTTTCAGTCTCATTTAAAAACTTTTTAATACTTTGCGGGTTTGGACCACCTGCGGGATAATGGTGGGATTCAAAAATTGTTTACCATCGGTTCTGTGGGCGTGGCTTGGTGGGTGTGGCAGGGGAAGGATACTGTAAAATCCCCAGTCAGAGGTGGCATTTGCCAGTTATCTGAACTACTCAAAATTTCTGCTACTGGTTCTCCAGGACTGGTCAGAACCTGCTGAATACCATCTCTGCTGCCGGGTGATCATAAATCATTTTCAGCCCAGCACCATAGTGTAAGCAGCCAATAAAGCTGCCTGGGTCAATCCTGCCTGCCTGACTGGGGGACTGATGATCCCTGTTATTCAAACAGTAAAACCCTGCTGGGCTACACAGCTACTATATTTCACCTCCCCCTTCCTGAAATGCACACATCATGCAAAGATAATGGGATATCCCTGAAACCAATTTTAGATAGGACTGTTGCTAAAGCAGTGTTTTTTCAAACTTGCAATTTTAAGATGATGTGGCCTTCAACACATACTTGGCTGAGGCATTGTGGGAGTTGAAGTCCATGCATCTTAAAGTTGCAAGTTCGAGAAACACTGCTAATGAATAACAAGAGTTGAGAGGATCCTTGGAGGTCTTCTAGTCCAGGGGTCTCCAACCTTGGCAACTTTAAGACTTGTGGACTTCAACAGCTGGCTGAGGAATTCTGGGAGTTAAAGTCCACAAGTCTTAAAAGTTGCCAAGGTTGGAGACCCCTGTTCTAGTCCAACTTCTTGTCCAAGCAAGAGATTCTATACCATTCCAGACAAATGCTGTCCGTCGCACCCACTTCTGGAGGCAAACCATTCCACTGGTTAGTCCTCACTATCGGGAAATTTTCTCCATATTTCTGTTAGACTCTGGATAAGTTTCCATCCATTATTTCTTGCCCTGCCGTCAGGTGCTTTGCGACCTCCCCTTCTCTGTGACAGCCCTCAAATGTTGGGAGACTGTTATGTCACCCTCTAATTCAGAGGTCTCCAAACTTGGCAACTTTTTAAGACTTGTGGACTTCAAATCCCAGAATTTTGGGAGTTGAAGTCAGCAAGTCTTAAAAGTTGCCAAGTTTGGGGACTCCTGCTCTAGTCCTTTTTTTTTTTGGTTACCAGGGCTTTCCAACCTTGCCAACTTTAAGACTTGTGGACTTCAACTTCAACAGCTGGCTGAGGAATTCTGGGAGTTGAAGTCCTCCAGGCTTAAAGTTGCCAGGGTTAGAAACCCCTGGGTTAGACTACAGACCTACCCAGTTCCTGCAAGCATTTATCGTATGTTTTATAGTCTCCAGCCCCGAATTATTTTAAAACTTAAACTATTATTCACATAGGAAGTTCAAGTTTCGTTTATTGGATCAAACACAGAAAGTAGGAAAGTGAAGAATTCTGCATTTTCCCTGGGATTTGCCTCAACGGCGGCCACGCTGAAACGCCATCAAAAAAGCACGCTGCCCCCCCCCCTTTTTTTTTTTTTTGTTCGTTCTTGGACAACGGGAGCCCGGAAGCATTCAAATTGGAAACGGGGACACCTTCGCTCTTGATTTTTTCCTATGTCCGGACGTCGCTTTCTCCGGACGTCGCTCGGCGGCCCTGCGGCGGGAGACGCGCGTCACCGGAAGGAATCACCCGAAAGAATGCTCAGGCGGCCAATCAGGATCGCGCTTGGAAAGATGGCGGCTTTCGGGGACCGCCAGCTCTCCGCGAAGGATGGGAGCGGCGACGTGGACTCGGACCTCCTGTTGCACCCGGAGCTGCTCTCGCAGGAGTTCTTACTACTAACGCTGGAGCAGGTAGCGAGAAGGGGAAGGGGGGTCGGCGAGGAAGCACCGGCTGGACTCGGGGTTCCCGGTACCCACCTTCCATGGTCTCTGCCGGGCATATTTGGCTTTGCCACAGCCGGGGAAGGGCGGCTTGGCCTCCGGTCCCGCTTTAACACTCCCTCGACGTTCCTGCCTAGTCTGCAGACTGGCCTTCTCTCTCGCTGTTGGTTGTAACGCAGGCACGCAACCCAGTAGAAGAAGTTCGCTCCCTAAGTGTGGTGACCACATGTCCTTTAGAAAGGGCAGTCCGTTATTTCAGAATTATGTTGTTATTATCATTATTATCATTAATAATAGTGCTTTATTGTCACTGTATATTCACAGTATACACATACAACGAAATTCACATAACACCCAGAGACCATTATTATAAGAATTAAATAACTTAATTTTTTTTCTTTTCCTTGGCTTTCTCTTTGTATTAAAGCAATGTTATAATCATACACAATTTTTTTTTAAAAAAATGTTTATTCATCTCTTTATCTTGCTCACTCCCACTGCTCCCAGTTGATCTCCATCTTCTGCCTCCTGCTGCTTGCAAGGTGTTCCTGGCATGAACCTTCACCAGGTGCCAGAGGTGGTGGAGCACAGGGCAAAGTGCAAGACAACGGGGGACAGGAGAACGCAGGCAAAGAGGGTGGGAGAAAAGGCGAGCCAGGCAAAGTGCACCTTGTCAGCAGTGAGAGGCAGAAGATGGAAAAGACTAGCTGGGAGCAGCAGATGGGCAGGGCAGTAAAAATGGCAGAATGGCAGGAGTAGAGGAGTACAAGGCCACACAGGGATGGTGGAGAGCAGTGTGCCTGAAAGGGCAGAGATGATGGATGGAGAAGATAGGCAGGTTGGGAGAGAGGAAGCAAAGGTGAGGAGAGCAGAGGCAGGGAAACTGGGACTACTGAAATTGCCATTGTTAAACGGTGTGATTATGTCATGTTTGCCTAAAACTGCATCGTTTAGCAATGGAAATGATGGTCCCAATTAGGGCTGTTAAGCAAGGGCCATCTGTATCTCCTCTGTTACCAACGTGGTACCCAATCTTGCAAATCTATAACATGCAAATTTATCATAGCAATAAGATATCTTTTGGGGTTTGGATTTCCCCCTCTATACTTTAAGCAGCAACATGGTGTGATGAGAATAAGGAAATGTGTAGTTTCTCTTGCTTCGTTTCTGTTCCATCTAGTAAAATTTATCACTTTTCTCCTAGAAGTATATATACGGGTGGAGTAACTAGAATGTTTATATTAGGGAAGTCTTCATATTAGATAACCAGCTAGTGTTATAGCTTCCTTCTGCTTTTGTAGGTGTGGAGTAAAATGTACATTCTGTGTGACAAGAAAATCCCTGAACCGTAAAAACATGCCAGCAAATGGTGATTTTCTATCTCTTGTATTATACAAAAATATATTGCTACACATAGAATTTCTTTCAAGCACATTATGAACCATAATATTCTTAACTTCATGATTTCTATTGTTTTTCATCAGAAGAATATTCCAGTAGAAGATGAGGTGAAAATCAGTAAAGATTGCCTTACTGACTTGTATATTCAACATGTCATACCATTGCCTCAGCGTGATTTGCCCAAAACCAGATGGGGAAAACTAATAGAAAAGCAAAGAGGTCAGCAAGTGTTGAAACATGGCACCCAAAGGTAAGTTTGCTTTGTTTAGAGTACTTGGATTCTCTTCAAAATCTTTCAAAAGTTTGTGACATAACAGGAAACCAACTTAACTTGAATTAGCCAATATTATTTCCTGCATCTTAATTTGTTATTACCAGTATTAGATTTTTGTCCTGCTTTCTTTATATGTAGCTCAGGGCAGTGACACTTGGTTCTTGAGTCCTACTTTCCACAGGAGAGTTGGTGATAATGGACCTGTACAGCCCTCAGCTAAGCAACACTCCTTGATAGTAGCTCTCTGTGACTTTAGACCAGGGGTCTTCAAACTTGACAGCTTTAAGACTTGTGGACTTCAATTCCCAAAATTCCTTCTCTAGTCATGTTAGCTTAGGAATTCTGGGATTTGAAGTCCACAAGTCTTAAACTTGCCAAGTTTGAAGACCCTTGCTTTAGACTCTCTCAGCTTTATCTGAGAAAAAAATCTGCCAATTGAAGAATGGAAACCTTGATTATCTTAACCTACTTTTTTCAGATAAATAAAACAACCATTTTGTTGTCTATTGGCAGTTTAATGTTACATGTCATTATGAAAAGAAATTGGACATCAACAGTCATAAATAAAAATTGAAATCAAGACAGGGACATCATGGAACTGCTTTCATTTATGTATAATATATTTCATTCATAACCCAAGTGCTTAACTTCATCCAGGGAATTAAGTCAAAAAGAGTTATGCCACATATTTATACTTTATTAAGCAGCCTCTTGCTCCAATTGTAGCATCTTACCAAAAATTGGTGGCACCTATGCAAATCATAATTAAAAAGAATTACCACCAACTGAAATCTTGACAAATTTCTGAGCAAAAACATCAAAAGTGGTCAATGCTGAGGCAAAGGGTTTGACTAGGCTCTGGAATAATCTTAGTCCAAGATTATTGTCTATCTTTGAATTAATCTTTGGAGAACATATGTACAGATTTGGAATATTTCAGTTTGGTTTGTCCAGTTCTTAAGTTTTGAAATGATAAGTGTGTTCTTTATTCTTAGACTAAATTGTGAAATAAATGTACATCTGATAATACAAAAGCATTGCCATTTGTGTGAGATTAATTCCTTATCAGTTTGAATACTACAGTCCTGATTTAAGTATTCATATGGGGAAAAGTTATATTGGAATCGACTGAACTCTCTTCACGTAGTTATTAAAATAGGATATTATTTAGAATCTAATAATTTTTGTTTTGTATCTATGATGAATTTTTATGTCACTTTTTTTTGTTCAGCATTATGGCAATGGAAAGTCTAAGAAAAAGGCCTCTCATTGTGTTCGATGGTAGCTCAACAAGTACAAGTATTAAAGTGAGGAAGACTGAGAATGGAGCTGCTGATGGTTTAAAATTTCTAACATCTGGAAGTACCAATATCACATGTAAAAGACTGCCTGTTCCTTCAAATTCCACACTGTGCATATCTGCTCCCACTTTCTCATTGGATGTTAAGAGGGAATCTAGGAATAATGAGGGTAAACAGAACAATATTGTAGTTAATATGTCACCTGATCAAAAGCCATCAGACTTAGAGCCTCTTACAGGAAATGCTGTTGTGAAATTAAAGAGAGCCGCTCCAAAAGAAGAATTGGATTCATCAGTAAGTATATCTGTACTATTTTATGAGGTCCTTCTTGAATGAAGTCCCAATTAATGTCTCTAGTTAGCAACTGCCATTTTTAACAACAGAATTTAAACTTACAGCAGCCTTTTCCTATCTTAATTTAGTTCAAGAAGTCAATAGACTCTTGTTGGTTATTACCATGTTGCTGTGTTATCTTGATAAGAGTTTTATTGTTAAAAATAACCCTCAGTTGGCACAAAGTGCTTTGCCCTAAAAGTGCTTTACAAAAATCTTTGTGAGATGTAAAGGTAATTTAGAAATGGCACAAGTTTCATTTGATTTTGTATGTGTCTGTGTGTTCTGAAAATGTATTTTCTAAGAAAATAAGTTTTCTTTTGGACATTATATACTGAAAACATAATCTATATTCTCCTTCCACGTGTTCTAAATGCTCATTCTCCAGGATCTTAAAATAAGTTAGATGGGTCAGGTGGAAGCAACTAGACCCCTCATGGATCGGCTCAAGATATTTTATTGTTGGTCATCTATGCAGATGTAAACCTAGAGGTTTGACCTCATACGTTTACTCTCTGGAACAGATTTTAAGCTGGAATGTATCTTTACTCTCACTAGAAGGGCCCCCTCCCCTTCACCTGGTGGCTCTATCACTTTGGCTTAAGGCAGTTTACAGAGAGACTGCCTCCTATGCTGCTGCCTCAAGTTGGGAGCTATGTGGATGGAGCACTAAGGTTTATGGAGGAGGTTTTGTGGAGAATGTGAAGCCTGCTGAGGAAAGGAGACATTAGTGTGCCAAGAGGCCCTGTTTCATGTCTTAAGTGGGACCTCTGTTGTTCTAGAGAGACTGCAGCCTATGCCCCTAACTCGCCTTCCACACTTTTCATTGCATCATTGGACATTATGGAAAATACAGATGAGTGCTGGAAGTAAGAGACAATAAATAGTAAAGTAATGATAAATTTCCTTCAATACTAATATTTCCTTTATAATGTTTAGTTCATACCAGAACCTAATATGTTATGGAAAACTGAAGTCCTTTTTAAAGTTTTCAAAACACCTTTGTTTTAACCACTAGATGGAAACAGAAATCAAGTTCTGGATGCTTTAACTTGTCTCCTTAAATAATCGAATTCTTTTCTTCCTCCAGAAGCCTCCTGAATCAAAAAAGAAGATCCAGCATGTAACATGGCCATGAACCTACAAGAGTTAGAAATGCAAATGATGCTTAGTCTTCATTTCAGTACAGAAGAATTGTACTAACCAGAGATGCAGATTGCAGTGGATAGTTGCTTAGAACTTCACAGTATAAAAAAGCACCATATGTTCACCATCAACCTGAGAGTATTTATCTTGCACTTTGAATTTACTCCCCATTTTAGAAGTTAATTTTGGTAGAACAAAATTGTTTTACCAGCCTTTCTTCTGCATTCTTCATTGTAGTCTATACATCAGGTCTTTGCATGATTTGATGTAGAAAGTTTCTAACTATTCTGTTCATTGTACATTTTTAGTAGTATATTTTTTTAAACATATACCATATATTTAAATAGTATGGAAGACTGTTTCCCCCTTCTGCTGATTTTACTAAGATATTTGCACAGAATAGTTCTGTTGAAAGGCCTAGAAAAACTATTTCTCATTTTTAGGTGCCAATATTATTTTTTGAGAAACTATTTGGGTCCTTTCCAGTTTTCTTTAAGTGACATTCAGTACACTGGTTTTGCTTCAAATTGAAGTTTTTGCTAAAATGGAAGATTAAACGGATTTCTCTTGTCTTTAGAGATACATAGAAGGCCCCCACCCTCAAGATTGTGTGTTGAAAAAAAAAACCTCTGCGAAGCAGAACTGCATTTTTATACAGTATGTGATCAGTGTTTTATACTAGCATTTTTAAGGAAAGCTTATTTAACTACAAAATGCCTGACAAAATTGAGAAGGAAAGTAATGCTTGCTCCATTTATTTATGCAGCTAGAAAAGAGATAAACTCAGTGGAAGTTTGCAGGGATGAAATTTGTGTCTGTGAATAAATTCTTTGAAACTTACTGTATTTTTTTTCTTATATGGTAAAAAACATCCCGGGATTTAAAAATATTAGAATCTCATTTGTATGTACAATGTAGTTTTATGTCATTATTAGTTAAAGACTCTGAAGAAGCTGGCAGTGTCTTGGTGATACAGGTAATTTAGTTTGAAAACCTGTAAATCTTAACAGCTTCTTCACAATGAACACAAAGCAGAAGTAAAGTGAGATATTATTGTTGTAAAAATAGCTCGTATTGGGGAAGAAAAAAACGTTACCACACTGAGTACATTTAAGTTGTGTTGATATCAGTAAGGTAGATAAAATACATAACACTTCTGAACATTTATAAGATTTAGCCCACAGTCCTGTATGCTGCTGCTTCACAGTAAATTTTATTTAACTTATGTTTAACTATTCACTCTTATAATTGCATTGATTGACATATAATTTCCATTGCCTCCATTGTTCCCCAAGACATTATAGAGCACTTCAGAATATAAAGAATGGTGTATTGAAGTGTAGTTGAATTCGCTTCTTAAACAATTGTGCAAGTTTTCTACTTGAGTACTGTATACAATTTAATTTTGTGTTTTTGTATTTGAACTGTCATTTTATTAGCTTATCTAAATTAAATTAAGTGTGATATCTTGTATAGATCATCTTTATGCTATAATTTTATCTTCCTTGTTAGGCTGGTTCAACTGAGTTTTTTGTATAATAGAATTAAACACCTATGCCAGCGTTAGTGGATTAAGATACACCTAACTACACTATTGCAACATTGGAAACATTTAAATATTCTTTAGAAGCGGCATACAGTAGCTGTACTCTGCTGTAAATAACTATATTGATTTTTTTTAATTTAGCATTTTTGATTGTAGCTTGATTTTATTATCCTTTGAAATGCATCTTTGGTCAGTGCATGTATAAGTGTTTGTAATTCGTTTTTTGTTTTTTTAAATCTGGCTGTGTTCTACATTTTTAGGAATTGAAGTATATATTCCAAATTAGCAGCTCCCAGTCTTTTTTTTTTTTTTGTAGATCCTTTCAAACATCATAAAAGATAACTTCCTATATGGTCACCAAATGTTCTTATTAAAAATAAAATAACACAATAATTGTATTCCTGTCATGGAGGTGATAGACATAGATTTTAAATTCCAAAGGTTTTGTTCACATGTCACTTTTAGTGAATAATTATCTGGTAAAGCAACCTTAAAGATATCCTGGGAAAGGGCAAGAGCTGATAAAAAGATTTTATTTGTATCAAAATTATTAATATTTTCACATGTTTTTAAACATAGAAATAATTTCAAAGACAACAGATAGTGGGGGGGGGGGGGGGGGGGTTTCCCCAAAAATGTAGTTTTGTGTAGCCACCACACTCTGTATTTTGGCATCTCCATGTGTAGTGTTTTCTTTTTGATCCATTGTTATGGAAATTCATGTTGTAGGTAGCATGCACAATTTACTCTTGATCATCAGTATATGCCAGGAAAAGGCAATGTAGCTAATATGAAAATGGTACTTTGGGCAACAAAAACAGATTCTCTTTATGGGATGGGATGGGATGTTTTGCATTTCCATCTCACATGAGATCAGAGGATTGAAAGCATAGAAACCATTATCTGCTTTATGTGTTTCAGGGTGATAGTGAAAATGTTACTCTGGTGGGTTTTTTTATAAAGATGCTTGGGAGTTTTTATGTATGGGTTTTATTGTGCTCTTTGTTCTTAGTCAGCTGACCAGAGTCTTGGAACAGTGTGGTTCAGAGATATGCTATAATCCAACTATCTCCAGTTGCCTTGAATAAGTTGCCATGTCTGCAGTTGCCAGTCATAATTGCATGGGCTTCATGCAGCTCTCAAGGTAAAGTAAATTCTTGGTTCCTGAGCTGGGAAAAAGATTTAACCTGTTCAATAACCTGATGTCCAGTGAGATGAAGCCTAATACCCTCTTTCAGCTGTATTTTAATGCACTTACCAAGAATCCCATTTATTTATTGATGAGTATTTCTCAGTAAAACCAGGCATGATATTCTTCCGATTAAAATCGGAATTCCGATTTTTTTGGGAATCGCCCCCCCTTTCCCCCCACCCCTTCTTCTCCTCCTTCCCCTCCCCTCGGAGGCCCCGAGTCAGGAGTTGCTGGCGCGGCTCCAGTCCCGCGTTGCCTCAGGAAGGGAAAGGCAAAAAGGAAGAGCCACGGCGGCGCTTTGCAACGGCAGCAGCGGCTCCTGGTTTTGCCTTTCCCTTCCCGAGGCAACGCGGGACTGGAGCCACGTGGAGCTGCGCCGGCGGTAGCAACTCCTGACAGCCCCAGCCGGATACCTGAGCGGAGCCCGGGCGGTGCGAGCGGAGGCCGCTGAGCGGCAGGAAAAGGGAGCTGGGCCAGCCACAGACCAGCCTCCGTGCAACACGCCACCGCCCGGCCCTGGCGAGGGAAAGCAGCGGGTGCTCCCCGGGCGCGTGGCGGGGGGTCTCTTGGCCGGCCCCGATTTTTTTTTCAGAGCGGAATATCATGCCTGTAAAACATTACCTTGAGTAGATTTGTCTTACACACTGAATCATCTGTAGACAAATGGCTGTTGTGATCAAGGTCTACACAAATAAGGAAATGCAGCAAATAGATAATGCATTATCACAACTACAAGAGCACAAGAAATAGAATGGAAGGTAAATTTGCATTATGCTCTATTTCAGGAAGGTAGGGCAATTCGTTACCTCCATATGAAGTAGTTAACGATGTCCCATATTTTATGAGACAGTTCGTAATGGTGAAACCAATATAAAATGCTTTGATTTTATATTGGTTTCTGAAAATTGGGCTTCTTTTAGAAATCAACAGTTCCTCTTTTTATGTAGATTCATATTTTTAAAGAGTCTACTCAAGCTTTACCTTAATGGCTAACAAACATTTATTAAAATTCACAAAAATACAACACTTTGCTAGAAATACATTTATTACTTTGCAATCTCTAAGGTGCAATGAAATTTCAAAAATTTGTTAGGAGTAAAAACTGTATTTTGTGCAACGATCTTGCAACATCCTGAAATAATGTATTGTATATTTGCATCCACCAAACTTGGGCATTTATTTGGAAACAAATTCATGTGTTTGGAAATGGGAACAGCTCCAAATGCTGATGAAGAAAATCATATTCTTTAACCAATCTTTTTAAGATATGGCACAAATATAGTATTACTGATCTGTATCTAAATTAACCTACATTATTATCATCTATACATTTGTGAACTGGGAAGTTTAAATATTGATTCTTCCTCCACCAACACTAATCAGTGGCAGTTGTAATTCTCCAGAAATTCTCTTATTGTATCTGACAAAGAGAAGATTATAGTGATATTATCTAATGTTTTGCATTTAGGAATAAGTATTGCTTGATAACTGATAGAAAAAGATTTACCTTTTCTCTGTTACATCTACTCCAATACGTTTCTACAGTCTAAAAGGAGAGGAAGGCTCACATTTAATGCCTACACAAGTTCTCCCTGTTTGCCAGGCTTCATTATCCAGACCAAACCTTTTTATTCCCAATCTCTCAGTTGAGCTCTAAGACCTCTGCACAATTTGAAACCCTGCTTTAATTGCTCCATAACATCTGGAATATATTCCAGTGATGTTTTTACTTGCTTTCAAGTGAATGTGAGTAAAAAAGTCTATTTCAAATGAGATCAATTCCTTGGTGACTTAATGGAGATGAACTTTTTTCCTCAATGCCAAAGTGGCTTACCGCTGCCTTTAAAAAAATATTTTAATTCTCAGTGAAATCTATAGCCTTGGAATTTCTGGTAGTTTCCTGTCCAAATATTAAACAAATCTGAACTTGCTTGTTTTTCAAGATCAACTGATGTTGGCTAGATTCTACCACCTAATTGATCAAACTTGAGTAGATGCTCTCAAATCCGCTCTATGAAGGGAGGCTGAGGTCCGAAGGATGAGCTCTAATGTACAATAAAATTGCAGGTGTAACCAGCAATCATGGCTCTGTTTCCTTTGTATATATTACTATATTGTGTTGAGGCCTAGCACCCAAAAAGAGCTAGTGTTAACTATTGCTGAGAAAAAAAATTCTGCACTTTTGATCAAAAATCATGCACATCATTATGTATATTAGAAAACATGTAAATACATTTTTTTTCCAAAAATGCTTTTCATCTTTTAAATATCTTTCCCACATTCGGGACACAGGATGTCGTCTCTTTCTGTGAGGAAACCACGGCCCACCAACGATAGGGAACATTTCTTGCAGTTGAAACAATCGTTGTGCCATTGCCGTTCCTCAAAAGAAATATACTTGGTACCACCAAGCCCTGAAAAAAGATGGCATGAGAAAAAAAGTGAGGCACATCAGTGTGAAGTAGTTGGAACTAGATCTAGGGTTATGAAACAACCTTTTTTGACCTAATATTTCCCAGATATGTTTGACCATGACTTCCAAGAAGGAAATAGCAGACTGAAGATGGCTCCCAAAAGCAGAGCCAATGATTGCATTGGAATGAATAGCCAATAAGTAGACTGGATATTCAATAATTCTCTAGATGAGAGGACTTGAGATTGTCCATAGTTGCTCCAGAGCAGGGGTGTCAAGCGGTCCAGATCTGGCCTGCAATGCGATCGGATCCGGCCTGTGGGACCATTCTGGAAAATGTAAGGGGCCAGCCTGCATGGCTTCAGGTCCAGTCTATCCAATGCAAAGAGAAAACATCAGGCCAGCATGGCTTCAGCCCGGTCTACCCAATGCGAAGAGGAAACATGCCAGCTGTTTGGGGAGTGGCATCAAGCTGGCCATGCCCACCCAGTTGGCCACACCTACCCAGTTAGACATGCCCCCCCCAGCCCCCCTGAGGTCAACCACAGCCCTGATGCGGCCCTCAATGAAATTGAGTTTGACACATCAGCTCTAGAGTCTAAGACAGTTGCTTATTGTGAGAAGAATGCATGACAGCAACCTCCACCAGTTTCAGAGTTTGGGAGACAAGGGAATAGACAGCTTGCTCAAACTGCAGTGGGCAGCTTTTAGTTTGCAAACTTCCATATTACATTTTTGAAAATTGCTTGTTAACTGCTTTCCAGCTATTAGGAACATTTGGATCAACATGTTTTACAGAACCAGGTACATTTCCCTCAATCCCTTTTGGAATTAATTATTTTTAAAAAAAAAATCCTTATGGGAAAATGCCTTTTTTTTTAAAAAAAAATGGACACCTGAGGTAACTAAAAGCAATTAAAGTTTACAATCGAGCAAAAAGATACTTAAATTTGCAATTCTAGAATGAAGCAAAATATTTTAACGTTGGATATTTTTGAACGATGGACCCAGAAAGATTGTGTCTAAAAAATAAAGGCACTTATCAAAGTACTTACCACTAATTGGGTTAGTGCATCCTGCACACTTCTTGGCATAGAGGCTACAAAAGCAATTTAGACAATATGCAAACTCATCTCGGGAAGTGAAACGTTGTCCAGATAGCTGTTTTTTGCATCCAATACACACAAAACACTCTTTGTGCCATGGCTGCTCTCGGTAAGTAATTCCTCCAGTAGTGATTGGCTGTTTATTTAAAATAGGAACCGGAGGGGAGGAAAGAAAGGGAAGAGTTCATTTTTTATTTACTATGTGTCATTCATGTTCTTTAACTTAAATAAAATGCAAATGTTTTAGAAAGAGCAAAGTAATCTTGAGCAGTAGCTCCTAATATTTTAAGATATTGTCCAATGTCCAACTAATCCATAGGTTTCTATTCAAGAGAAGTTTTCAAGTTTACAAGCACAAGAAGGCAACACCTTCCCTCTCCTCAAAACATACACATATACACATGTTACACTTTCCATTTTCTCCCCAAGGTAATTTCTATTCCCAAACCAAGTTCCCAACCCAACAGATTTCTCCAAGGGAATCAGTATTGACCCTCAAAGCTTGATGCGGCTCTTCATTGTTATTCATGGTTCTATTAAAACAGTATTTCTTAAATTATTTTCATATAATAAATGTTTGGGGGGATGTCAATAATCTGAAACTTCATGAGTAGGTCAATGGGCTCGAGAATTTGTGGACTCATGCCTTAGACGGATTGAATTATTCTATTTAATGTAATAGTGGTGAACAAGAAAGATCAGCACTGACTTTGTATCCTTATGTACAAGAGAATCAAATAATATTCCAGACTTTATACTAGAATAGCAATAGATGTATAGAATTGGACAGACACATGATCTTCGTCTAAGTGTCCTATAAACATTTTGCCACTGAAACTCAGCTAATTTTTTTCTGTGGATCACTAAGATCATAATGTAAATGTAGCATAGATAGTAAGTTGGAAAGGTTCGTGGCTGTTGAATGGTTTGAAGTTCTAAGTGGCTCCAATAACTATCCATTTTAACAATCATCCTGAGGCCAGTTTTCAAGTACCAGATTTGACTTCCTCTTTATCAATTGACTCAGAGAAAGTGATGTCTTTTCTCTATCAAATTATATTATTCTGTACCAATTCCTGGGTAGTCATAAAAAGTCTTCTGGCAAGAAATTTGCCATCCTTATTTATCCCCATGTTCCACCATTGACTTTCAGTCCGAGCATCTGAATTCTCGCTGTATCAAGGTATCACAAAACTCAACAGGTTTTATATACTCTAAAGCTAACTTCAGATGGCATAGTAATAAGAAAATCCTACTTACTTGAACTATAATCTAGCCCAAGACAATTTAAGGTTTAGATGCAAGATAAAGCCAACATAACAGAGACCTAATATTGCCAGAACGTGTGTGTTATGGTTAGATGCAAGCAGGAAGAAAATTTGCAGCAGCTGAGTGAACAATGCACTAACAAACTCCTTATCTGATTCAAACACTCACTACAGAATTCAGGCAACTGCAACATAAATGTTAAAGTACAGATAAACCTCAAGAGAGATTTCTTTCTCACAGTTCATGAGTCTCTGTGTGGACTTCAAGTCCCAAAACTGGTGGACTTTAACACCCAGAATTCTCCAGCCAGACATCCTGGCTAGGAAATTCTGGGTTGAAATTCATCCAAAGTTACCAAGATTGAGAGATACTGCCCTGTACTGTGGTTGTAATGAATAACTGAGCACAGCAAAGGCAGAGTTTTCTCCCTGTTCCTTCCTCCGGTCTGATTCCTCTTCCACAATTATGTCATTGATAAGAAAGGTTTTATTTTAGAACAATTTATCTTTCAGTATCAGATTCAACAAAAGAAAGGGCAAGTTATGGTAGGACAATATCTTGGAATAATTGGCTTGGATAAAGAGGAGAGGTAGACAAAATACATATTTCAGAGCATAACATTTCATACCATAATAAACTTTACCTTCTTGCATTGTACACACTGCATAGCAAATTGCTTCTCATAGCAGGGCACACAGAAATTCTGATTGTCCTTGGGAATAAAACTCTTTGTTCCGATGGGCTGTTGGCACCGATGGCAGATAAAACAGGTCTCATGCCAGCTGCTTCCCTTATATTCCATCTTCCGTGTCCCTATGAGAAGAATAAATCCAGGACTACCCTTTAAGTTGTTATAGCACAAAAACATAGAGATTCCAATATGTTTCATTTCTACCTATTCCATTTTCCAGTTAGTAAAAGGGAAGAATCTGGGTAGGTTACCAAAACTTAGTCAGGAATAATGTCACCCTATAATCTTTAATTTCTCAGATCCTGAATACTAAAAATAAGCCCTCTGAAGAATAATCCTCCCTAATTTGGTGTCCTTCAGACATCACAACAGATATTGCTATCACAAGTGGCCACTAGATGGCAAGGAAAGAGATGAGGTTTTTTCTGCCACCTAGTGGCTGTTTGTGTTATTGCAATCTACATATGGCAACCCTGGGCATTGTAGAGTTGTATTTCTAATTGACTCCAAATATTGAATGAATTCACACAATGGAGCTAGGCCATCATGGTTGGTCGTCAACCATAGTTGGTTGAAACACAGCTGTTAAAATCTTGGGGTTTTTTACTTCTTTTTGAGGAACAGGAACTGATTTTTGTTGGATGAAGGATCTATGAACTACCCTTTTAAAATTAACAAACATGAAAAACTGTTTCATAATTCATCCTTTGTTGTAATAGCAATATGGCAATATTGTTAATTAAGGAAGACTGAAAGGAGGATAATGTAGAACCTAGTTAGAGGCCCTAACTCCATAAAAAGAAACAGAAAAACCTTCTGACTGTACCTACAATATATATGCTGCCACTCTGCCTTCTCTGCAGCATCAGCCTACCACTGTGGTTCTTGACCATTCAAAAGACATCCAGTGCAGCTCTCCCCCAACCCCCATTTTAGCTTGACTGTCCTGAATGAAAAATGTTCTATGCTGGCTGAAGAACACATTTCTACCAGATCATTGGAAGGCAGATTAAAGTCTTGATAAAGCACCTTCCTCTGGTTTTAGAAAGTATTTCACGAAAGCCCCATTGTGTCTCCAGAGCGGACAAGGTCTAACCTGGCATGATGGTCTTTTTGCACTCGTTACACTTGGAGGAGTATTCATTTGAGTAACATTCGGTACAAAGGAGGTGCTCTTCCTTTGCAGCAAAAGGTTTGTCCACCAAGGAGTTCTTGCACTGGAAGCAATGGAAGCAGGTTTCATGCCAATGACGATCCTTGTAGGACAGGTCCTGTAGTGATCCCAAACCACATAAGCCCATGTGAAGAAATATTCTATAACCTTGGGCCAAATTGACCACAGTATTGTACATGAGGACTAACAACTAATGGAAAACATGTGACCAGGTATGATGTTTGAATCCATCTAAATTTAATCTCTAGTTTGCCAGTTAGAATTGATTTTTTAAAAATTCTTTGAATAAGGCATTGTTGCTATCCTTTTAATAAACACAGCTTATGTGAATGGCCCTTTGCCACCTTTTTCCATTAAAAAAATATGCACTGACATTTTTCCATGTTTAATCCTTGCACTATATGCAGTATCTTTGTAGTCTGTCCAGAGTTGTATCCTTGTATGAATGAAGGTGAATATACGTGTCCCAGGATAATGTCGCAGGATCCAGTCTGGATTGGTCACCAGGACTTCAATACTTCCAATGTAATCTACTGGATCCCCTGCATGGATTGCCCCTGTGACAATGTAGGACAGATGGGGAGGAAGCTAGCCACCAGATTGCAAGAGCACAAGCGAACAGTCAGATGAGGAGACCGAAACTCATTGGTAACTTCTATTGCAATTAACAAAGAGATACATTCAATTTTGAAGCCACCAAGATTGTTGGACGAGTAGTGCAGAAAAATAGCCAGGGAAGTATTTGATGCCTGTCAATCACATGAGTACTGATTTATTGCCAGCTTATCAAATACTTAGGAGTTGAAGGCTTGGTAACACAAGGAAACAGCTAATGATTTAATAGCCAGCCATCAACACCCTGATCAACAACTAAAAAGCCACACACAACCAGGAATCATATAAATACCACACAAAGAGTAATCCAAAGCATACACTCTGCTAGAGACAAGTTCCCTGAGGATGGGCTCCAGCACAAATCCTAAAGCTCAGAAGTTTAAACCTCTGGTCCTGGTGACCAACCCAGACTGGATCTGTATCCTTATATGCTGTCTAGAGTCACTGTTGTGAGATAGATGGCTATACACACATACAAACACATTTTGGATGCAATTCTATGCATCTCACTGGAGCAGAGAAAACTGGGACCAGGGTACTCCTGCATTTGCTACTAGGTCTATTCACTCTTGATGCCAACTTCAAGATTTTCCTTGCTCTCTTTCTTAGGGTTCTTTACCTAAAATCCATTTCAAGATTGCTTTTTGGTCTAGTGGTACCAAGGTAGAAACCAGGAGACTGTGAGTTCTACCCCTGCCTTAGAATGAAAACTGACTGGGTCACTTTGGGCCAGATTCTCTCTCTCTCAGCCCAACTCACATCACTTCACAGGGTTGTTGTTGTTATGGGGGAAAGTAGGAAAAGGAAGGAGTAATAATTATGTTCACTGCGCTGGGGTATTTATACAAATAATATAAAGGTGGGATAATAAACAAACAAACCCCTATATCAAAGACATATTTACAGAGAAGACTTTCAAACAAAGAACTATACTCTATACAATCCTGAGCAATCTGAACAAATTGGTCAATTTACTCATAGAAATTTATCAGCATCATTCCTAATAATAGAAAGTATTTCAGTGTATATTATGAGTTCATTTGAAAAAGTGGAGCATGCAGCATATTCTCATTTGTTTTTCCTCTTTGTAAACACCCAATAAGTGCTAGAAACTATTTGGATGTACTGGGACTAAAAGCCAAAATGTTGTCTGGACTAGGAAAAAATGCTATCATATGCTTTGATATCTCTGATAAAGCCAATTCCCATATTAGAAAAGCCCTACTCTACAAGATGGCTTGCAATTTACTAATATTCAGACTAATCAAATGAACACATAACATAGAACTGGGCTGCTGAAAACTTTTCCTTTTTTATTTCTCATGGAATTTTATTTCAGATTCAACCTCACATACCTTCCTGTATGCATCTTTTTATTTTTTATTTTTCCTGCTAAACTGAGTGGAAAACAAACCATAAAATATGACAGCTGTTGACCTTTGGGGAACTAAGCATATATAAATCTGTTTTCCTCCGGATTTATCTATCTGTCTATCTATCTATCTATCTATCTATTACATCTAAATAAATAACATCAAACCTTTGATATTATTTATCATTTAATGCAAGAATGGGATCTTAAAGTTGCAATTAAGGGATTATTAAAAAGATATAATGAGAAACCTATATGCCAAGCTTGTTTGCTGCACATAAGCAGAGTTGTACCAGGCACTCAAATCATGTATCATCAAGAGAACTCACATACTTATTACTTTTCAGTAATTTTACAGAGTACTGTCTACTGAAACATTTCTCAAATTTAGCAGCTTTAAAATGTGTGGAATTCAACTCCCAGAATTCCCCAGATAGCCATTCTGGGAGTTGAAGTCCACACATCTTCAAGATACAAGTTTGAGAAATACTGATCTATTGTATATCATTTCTGGGAGTTACTGGAGAGTTAATACTGTATAACCATCAGTATAGCACACCTCTGCTTGGTCATTCTCTCCCATTGTAGTTAGGACATCAACACAATGCACAAGTCAATGCATAAACAAGCATGTGTGAGTACACAATTTTTCACCTATATTCCCCCATTACTAACAAATATTTTCTTAATTGTTCACTCAATTAAGGGTGAGAGGAAGGGGCCCAGCATCTTTCATGACTCACTTATTTGCCCTTGCAGAAGGGCCTGTAGTGCAGGAGAGATCAGGTAGCACTAAGCTTCCCCAATCCCTCTATCTGAGTTGAAAAATCCAACTAATTCCTTGCTCTTAGATATCTTGAAGGCTTGAAAGCAAAGGGATTCAGGAATGTCAATACACACAAGGATACTTAGAAGGAATTCTGGGAAGAAACAGTTTGTCAGCTTCGGGAATTTCCACATACTAACCTTTCTTTTTTTGGCTTTTTGGCTTTGCTTCTGCTGGCTGCCTCTACCCCCCTGAAGTCTAAAGTAAATTAAACTAATAAATTAATTAATCATATTAGTTTATTTTGGGCACTTGGTGATCAGCTCACTTTTATCAACATTTGCAGCATCTGGTAGTCACATCTGCAATTTTTGCTGGCTTTTGCCATTTACTTCCAGTTTTCAGCAAAAAGCACCCATTGGGTACAATCATGACTTCATTTAACAGCTGTGGCATTTGCTTAAACGGCCATGGTATTTGCTTAGCAACCACTGCCAACAATTTGATCAAATCAGGCCTGCTCACCCACTGAATGGCTGCAACAATTAACAACCATAATTCTGGCTCAAATACAGTCATAAATCAAGGACTATCTGTAATATATTTTTGCAATTTAGATTTTTTAGTTATACAATTTTTAACATTTTATAAAAAGAAGGGAAGGAAAAAGGCCTATTTGTTACTTGCTTACTTTTATGAATGGGGACAAACAAGTCTTTGTTGCTTTTATTAAAGGGTTGTATTCTTTCCTTTTATCCCACCTCTGTCCTCACAATCAAGTTGATTCCTTGTGCCTTTAAGTTGAGGGGTCATTCAAGCATTTTGCCCAGGCTAGGATGGGTACAGTACTTGAGAGTGGGTTCCCTCAAATACAGCAGCACTTCTGGTTTTCATGGTATTTGTTTTGATATAGATAAGAAAAAAAGCAGAACGTATCAAAAGGAAAAATAAAGTCAAACAGAAAGATTGCTTATCTCAGGACAAGAGAAGAACAACTTATGGGCCAATTGTTATAAGGAAGCTCTGCTTTGGCTGTTTTGAAAAGTCCCAATTAACCAGAGCCATTGGCAGGGAAAATCTTTCTTGCACCCCTTGACATGGGTAGAATCCTTGGGCCAGGGGTGGGATTCAAAATTTTTAACAACCGGTTCTATGGGCATGGCTTAGTTGGTGGGCGTGGCTTAGTTGGTGGGCGTGGCTTGGTGCCCATGTTATTGCCTGGACATGGCCAACTCAATATCACTCACATCGAGGCACGCATCTCCTCGCCTGGCCTTTCATGACTGTGGGGGTGCTGCAAAAGTCATAAGTGTGAAAAATTGTCATAGGTCACTTTTTTCAGTGCCATTGTAACTTTAAACGGTCACTCCACACAAGCAAAGTACCAGCAAAGGAGGGGAAAAAACTCCAGAGAAGTTCCTGAGACATGAAGTCTAGTCCTGCCAAGAATGTAATAAGGGTTAACAGAGAGGCAGTTTCTGTAAGCAACACCAGAATGTTTCCTTCCTGCCTTCCTTACAGGATTAGGCCAGTAATTTCTTCTAACAATCAGTTCTCTGAACTGCTTAGAATGTTAACAACCGGTTCTACCAAATAGGTGCGAACTGGTAGAATCCCATCCCTGCCTTGGGCAACCTTTTGGAGAGACTTACTGATGGCAAGTAAGGAAGTTTAGGCCAGGGAAAAGGCAGGGCAGCCTACCTTACAATCACAGCCGATTGGCTTCTTACACTCCTCACAGGTGTTGGAGTACAAGCTCTCATAGCACTTGATGCAGTAGGGACTGTCCTCCTTCAGAATGTATTTCTTGCCAAACAGCGTCTCCTTACAATAGTGGCAATCAAAACGTTCGGTCATTTTGGCATCAGGGATTTGATTAGGCTGTTGACAAAAAGATGAGAAGGGTTAAGTTCAAAATGGGTGGAACATCAGCAGGGAGGAGGAGGAGGATGAAGAGGCGGAGATGATTACTTTATTTTCCACAATTCCTTCTAGGGGCCTCAGGAGGACATATGAAAGGAGCCTTCAGACATGCCTTTATCATCTCATGATTTGACTACTGTAACACAAAAGCTTCAGTGAGTCCGGAATGCAGCAGAATAGGCAGTGATGTGCATGTCTTGGAAATGCCTATGAAACCCCTCTGCTTCACAAGCTGCACTGGTTGCCAATGAGCTTCCAGGTGCAATTCCAGGTGCTGGTCACTGCCTGTAAAGCCCTATTTGGCATAAGGCCTTTTAGCCTGAGACACCACCTGTCTCCCAAAGTATTTGCCTCGCTGGTTCACGGAGTTGGCACCAGTGGTGGGATTCAATTTTTTTTTACTACCAGTACTGTGGGCGTGGCTTGGTGGGCATGGCAGGGGAAGGGTACTGTAAAATCTCCAGTCAGAGGTGCTATTCGCCAGTTCTCCGAACTACTCCAAATTTCCGCTACTGGTTCTCCAGAACTGGTCAGAACCTGCTGAATACCACCTCTGGTTGGCACGCTCTGGGTTCTTTCTATTAAACAAGGCTACCTATCAGGACCTCAGATGTGTGCCTTCTGTAATTGTACCCAGGGGTGGGATTCTACCGGTTCAGACCGGTTCAGGCAAAGTGCAAGCTCACCAAACCGGTTGTTACTCCGGTTGAATTGCACCATTGGTTGTACCTGCTCTCTGGAACCAGGTTTCCACCCAGATTCCACTTGTCCCTACCCTCTTGGTATTTCAAAGGGCCCTGAAGACGTGGCTCTTCAACCAAGTCTTTGGTGAGGATGATTGACCCCTCTTTTCTTATTTTTCTTTCTTTGCTTTCTCTGTCATTTTTGCTTTTTTTGTTGTGTTGTGAGGTTGGGGGTTTGGGGGGTCTTTTTGTGTTATTTCTTTGTTTTTAAATGTGTTTAACAATTTACAAACTATCCAAAGTCACTGAAAGGGGACAGCATATAAATTCATTATTATTATTACAATTATCATCATCACCATTGTCGTGTCCGTCGAGAAAGGAAGCTCGGAGTCAGTGACTTGGTTTCAGCTCTTTATTGGCTCCTGTAACAGCTTAAGCTTGGAAGGGAAAACGGCGGCTTTTTATTTCCGAGCCGCGGCGGCCGCGGCCAATGACACCGCTTCGAATCTCCCGCGATTAGTTTCCACCAATCGCGGGGGATTCGCAACGGGCCAATCAGTGCGGCTCGCTCGACCAATCCCGTCGCCGCGCGCTCTAACCAATCGCGACGCGGGGCTACGAGTATGTAGATTTACTCGTACAGAACAACCATCATGTTCTGATAGGAAAAGAAGATGAGCTTGTGAATTGACAGCTTGCTAACTCCAGGATAGTATCTTCACCAGAGCTCCTTTTGTGTGATAAATACAGTAAGGATAATTTAAGCTTCCCAAAATATAATAGCCTATCAGTATACAGATGGCAAACTGTATAGCGCAATATCCTCTCTGCTTTGAGTATGAGCACAAGACTCCTATTTCCTGTAGGGGAAACAAGATGAACTGGGAAAGCCATATATTTTTGTTTTCATGGGGAGAATAATATCAGGAGCAAATATCAGGTTAAATGGCATCATTGCATGACCAGCCTCCTAACTTTAGAAACTCTCCATCTGTCATGTAAAATTAACCTTGGTGATTAAGCAATGTTGTTAGATCTTCTCCCAGTATAAACATAGCCCAGTATGGGCAGTGTTTGTAGATCCACCACTTGTTTTGATCATGCCTGATAATCAAGCAGACCTTTGAAGTTTACACATATTTGCAAGCATTCTCTGTGGATCTTTGAACAGTCACTAGCAGGATAAGGAAGCCTGTACAGGATTCCTGCTGATTTTCACCACAGAATGGCTTTTTTTTTTTTAAGGGAAAAATGTTGTATATTTGCTATTTTGTATTCAACCTGAAAAAATGTTTGGAATGTTTCCTTCTTGGCTCAAAAACCTGCAGGCAGAAGATCCATCATTCCATCCCATTGTTCAATTGCAGATAATGGGAAATGGTCACTTTCATTCTATCAACTTGGATTGCTCCTGTCAATCAAGGGTTCAGAGCACATTGATAGGGCTTCTAATGTTCCTAGGCCTGTCATACAGAATGATGTTCAAAGCAAGCCACTTCAGTGGAGCAACTTTCCTAGTCATTGTTGAAAATCTTCTATCATGGTTAATATTTGCAAGATGCGCAGGAAGTTTGTTCACATGCATAAAGTAATCATGAGAATACATCAGGGTTTCTTTTGAGAGGGAGGGAGGGAGAGAGAGGGGAGGGGAGGGGGAGAGAGAGAAGAAAAGCTTGTGCATGAACATTAACTGAGAGTCAGTTTAGTCTAGTAGTTAAGGCACCAGACTAGAAAGCAGGAGACTGTGAGTTCAAATCTTCCTTAGCCATTAAAGCAGCTGGGTGACTTTGGGCCAATCACTCTCTATCATCCTGACCCACCTGACGGGATTTTTAAAGTGATATATACAAAAAATATAGACATTCTATCACATATTATATTTTATTTATTTTTTGCATATCTCTATTTACATTGTTAACAGTATTTTGTCATTAGTAATTTACATTATTCCTATACATTAATTCTTATTCTGTTTGAGATAGATTTATACCATCTATCTCAAATCACATAATATTTCGATTCATTCTTGCCTTTTAATTCCACTATAAGTTTATCCATCTCAGCACAGTCCAGTATTTTTTTTTTATCAAGTTCTCTCTGGATGGTATCTTTTCTGTCTTCCAGCCCTGTGCAGACACTATCCTCGCCACTGTTATTATGTGTAAAATGATGTATTGGATTTGTTTGCTAAATTTCCCTTTAACTATTCCTAATAAAAATCTTTCAGGTTTAAATTCTATTTGGTGTTCAGTAATTTCTTGTAACCATCTTTGTATCCTCATCCAATTTTTTTTTAGCTTTTGGGCATTGCCACCACATTTGGAAAAATGTTCCGTCTTTTTGTTTACATTTCTAACATTCTGGCTTTGTATTTGGATATATTTTGGGCAATCTCACTGGCTCTATCACATATTCTATTAACTAGTTCTGAAGTAATGGGAGGTAATAAAAACTTGTTTATGTGAGACCACATTTTAATGTATTATGAAGTAGATTATAGTTATTACTACATGGTTAGTTCACCAATTTCTATTTCAAGTAATCAGAATAGAGTTGTATTGAAATGCTCCAAGATGTTAATGGGCAGTCTATCATTTTTCCCCCAAAGCCTGCCACATCTAGGTCCTTCTTTAAATCAAGCATTCATCTTATGAACATAAGAACATCAGCAGTGCTTGTAGGAGACAAACCTAAGAAACAAAATGGAGACTGCACCAATTTCCCCTTTTGTCTTTTGGCTATAACTAAAGTCAAATTCAGTTCATCTCTTTGCCTAATCTCCATCAGACAGAAATGGACCCTCCTTATCCCCAGACAAACACCAATGCAAGCTCTTCTAGACCAAAGAATAGTTAGCCTCATCTCACCTGCCCACAGCCTATTCCAAGACCAGCCTTTAAAAGGGAATTACAACATAGAGAAACCCCAACATTCCATCCTATATCAATTGATGACCTCAAAATTCCACCTCCATTGCAATGGACTTAGCAGTTCTGTTGTCTTCCTGAAAGATCCATTTACCTAACAATAGAACTATCCACAGGTACACTGAACCTGACAGTCAGCCAGCAAATCAGATCCAGAGGTGGTATTCAGCAGGTTCTGACCAGTTCTGGAGAACCAGTAGCGGAAATTTTGAGTAGTTCGGAGAACCGGCAATACCACCTCTGATTGGCCCCACCCCATCTATTCTCTGCCTCCCGAGTCCCAGCTGATTGGCTACATCTTTTGTTGCCCTGCATGGGAGAATGGAGCTGGAAAGCTGGTTAGTGGGGTGAGGAGGGAATGGGGATTTTGCACTATCTTTCCCCTGCCATGCCTACCAAGCCATTCCCACCAAGCCACATCACACCCTCCAAGCCATGCCCACAGAACTGGTAGTAAAAAAATTTGAACCCCACCACTGATCAGATCTCTAGGATTTACTACCTTGTATCAAAATATTTGTTTTTCCATTGTTCAGGGTCGCTCTTTTTGTAAAGCAGCTTCCCAATGAACATGGGGAACATGGTTCTTCTCCTCAATGTTGTGCAGTTTCTTCAGACTGAAGCAAAGCCCTGCTGGATCAGACCCCTGGCCCATCTAGTCCAGCAATCTGTTCTCACAACTGCCAACCAACTACACAGGAAAGTCCCCTAGTCTGTCTGTAGAAGGACCTCTGGGATAGTCAGACTACCATCAAAACTAACAGCAATTAATTTACAGGATTTCCATGAAATGGTAGAACAAATTTTTGAAGTTAACACTATACCATGGCAGAAAATTCCAGGGCTCAATTTTGTTAGGTGACCTCTGGTCCTAGAATTTTGGGAAGAGGAAAATAGCTTCATCTTGTCCACTTTATCCATATTTTGAATACCTTTGTATATTTCAATCATGTATTCTATAAGTATCCCACTTAACAATGCCAGGAGGTAAAGAGCAGGAATAAAAAATGTTCAGAAATGAATTTGCTAATGATACCACAAAAGATTCCAGAAGGGATTTTTTTTTTTCAAATAGGAAAATTCAAATGAAACACGATCAGTATATCCTAGTCCACAACATGTCATAGTCCACTATTTTTCTGCAATATTCAGGTACATGAAATACATTATTGTAACTATTTTAAAAATTATCTACTTGGGTTATGATAGGTCTCCACAATTAATTATAATTACATCTAAAATGTTTCCCATGTAGACATTTGTTCCACAAATACATATTAAAAAAAGATTTCTATCCATGTCCCATGTTTTTATACTTTATTTTGTTTTCTTTCCTGAAGTAAAATTTAGGTATTTCTCTCAAAAAAAGTCTTCAAACATAAATCCACAAAGAATTGGAGTTTCCAAATGGAGATTTCCAATCAACCAAAAATATTTGGAAAACACTTGTGTTATAGTTTCAAAAATTGTGGAGATATTTATAATGTCTCTATTAAACTATAGAGAAACAGATCATTTTTCATCTCACTTCTAGTAATTGGAAAAAGCATTTCTATCATCACGTTGTGAAAATTTAATATTCTTCCTCTAAGAATTCTCATTTATTTTTCAATCATAATCACAATTCTACACAAAGAAGAAAGGAACACAAGTAACAGGTAAAATAGAATTGTTTGATTAAAAATATTGTTTATGAAGTAATTTCTTAATCCAAGATTTTGTTTACAAACTTTGGGTGGGGAACCCCATTGAGGAGGCAAAAGCTAATAATAATATTAATAATACAAATAATAATAATACTTCCTGATCAAGTTTGTGCAGGCAGTATGGATATGCTGAAAAAACTCATGTGGGCTTAGTTTCTTAATTTGCCTGCAGAAGTTCACTTTGGATAGTTTCTGGATTGTAAAGTTTGAAAACTTCTGAGTCTTTTTAGATTAAAATAACATTATTTAAAATTACCCAACCCTAACAACAACATGATCATTAATTTTACTTATGACAGGGATTGTTCATGTACTTTTAGGAAACTGTGCTGCTGCAAATTTTGTGGATCACTGATTATGCACTTGAAATATAATTTCTTTAGCATACATTTAAGTTTAATTTTTATATGTCATAAATTTTCTTAACAATTCATAAGCATAGTTCATAACACTTTAACTTAATGTTGGCATCCCCTACTGCCTTGTAGCAATGAATTATTTTTCCTAGATATTCACTATTTTAAGGCAATGTTTTATCTTTGTAATCTTTCTACATTTTATAGAGAAATTTTCAATTTTGTTCAATATTATCAAATACTATCTGTCAAGATTCTAACAAGATTTAAAAGAAATATTCAAGGTATTGTTTTGTTTTTGGCTTGGGTACCTTATGGACCAAACAAATTCCTTTAACATTGAGTTGTTTTCAGTTGAACTTGGTCATGCTCAACTGGAAACAAAATAATAATTGAAGAATGAAATATTAATATTCTACTAGGCCAGGGGTAGGGAAACTTGGCTCTTTTATCACTTATGGACTTCAACTCCCAGAATTCCTGAGTGAGCCATAAATGGTTCCCCATATGTCCTACAATTGTATATTAAACAATCCCATTCAAGTCAAAAATTGATTTCCCCCACAACTGAAAAACCAGTACGCCAGGGATGGGGAACCTTTTATGGCTCACTCAGGAATTCTGGAGTTGAAGTCCATAAGTGATAAAAGACCCAAGTTTCCCTACCCCTGTACTAGGCTAATAAGAAATCCTTTACACTAAACACTTTTCCAGGTCTCACACAGATGATTTTGGGGGAGTAATGGGAAAAGAAAATCAATGGATGAGAAACGAACACTTCATCCTTTCCTCTGGATGGAGTGCATTATCTTTTACTCTGAACAGAGTACTACTTCCACAGTCAGAGCTGGTGAATAATTTGGGGACCCTTCTGATTTGAGGTTCCTGTTTGATGAGGACAGGTTGCAGCTGTGGCCAGTGGTGGTGATGAGGCTTTGAACAGATTTGTCTTGTATGCCAGTAACACCCATTCCTGGACTGAAAGGTCCTGGTTACTTCCCAGTGGGACTTTTACAAAGAGTTCTAGAATTTGTTCTTGAAGATCACCCAGAAATTACCATTGGCACAGTGTTAAGCATCCTTCAGTTTGCCCATGTTACATTTTTGTTGTGTGAACTGCAGTGGCTTCCATTTTATTTTTGGATGTAATTCAAGATGTTGGTTATTACCTTTAAAGGCGTAGATGGAATGAGGCTATCCCTGGAGGTATAGCAATAACAATAGCATTTAGACTTATATACTGCTTCATAGTGCTTTACAGCCCTCTCTAAGCAGTTTACAGATAATATTGCCCCCAACAATCTGTGTCCTCATCTTACCGACCTTGGAAGGATGGAAGGCCGAGTCAACCTTGAGCGGGTAAGGATCGAACTCCTGGCAGTGAGCTCAATTAGCCTGCAATACTAAATTCTAACCACTGCACCACCACAGCTCCTCTGCCTGTTCTGTCAGGCTGGGCAACTCCAGATCCCTTCCCTTAATAAAGGTTGCCATCTAGTGGCGTCTAAGAAGTATGCATTCTCTGTAGCAGCCCCTGAATTGTAGAATATGGAACCCTTTTAGCCTTCTGAAAAACCATGAAGGTTTAGAATTGAGATAAAGTGAGGTTGAATTCTATGCTTTCATGGATTGGGAATTGTGGGTTTTGTACCATTTGGTTCTATTATTGCTATGACCTTCCTACAGTTATATTTTACAAGATGGGATGCTATATATGGTGTATGTATGTATGTACAAAATATATAAATAATTCTAGTCTGGCAACTGGTGTCCTTCTTTCCCATTTTGGGTAAAAAGAAAAAAATGTTAAAGAGCTCAAAGGATGTAAAATATTATTGGCTTCACAGTGATATCTATAAAGTTCCTACTAGCAAATAATTTTTTGTCATTCAACTGTAGGACGTTAGCACCCACCTCTCTCCTAGAAAAATGAAATATCCTAGGAAATATTTAAAAGGCAGGATATTTCCCCTAAAAAGAGAAGTAGAAACTCAGAAGCAGAAGCTCACCCCCACCTTTGTTAATGGGTGGGCCATTAAGGCCTAGACCAGAGTATTCTACATAACAAAGGCCTCTGCCCATGTCACCACCTGGCCTGGGAAGATTGATCAGCCAGCACTCAGGTGAAGCCATGTGGTCCAGACAAAGCCTACAAAGTTAGCTAAGACCCCCGCCCCTGGGAGTCTGACAGTCAATGGGATACATTTCTTGCACAGAAACAGGAAACACTAAGGTGGGGCCAAACAGAGGGTATATAAGGGTCTCTCAGCATCTTGGCCCTTCCTTCTCTTTTCCTTCACCTTGAAGCATGTGATCGTCCTTTTCACTTTGGAGCTCCAAGCCAAGTGGTCCTGTCCACCATTAAACCATCTTTCCAAACAGCCTCCATGTTTCCAGTGTCTTTCTTCCCCACTTGGAACTGAACCCAGAAGGATATTCCTTCCAACACAACAAATATACTAAGGCCAAGAGTGCAGGAGGCATACCTTTAATGTACAAGTTGTAATATCCATCAGTTGGAAGGATCATCTCACTTTCCCTGAACCTGCATCAGAAGAAAAAAGCGATTTACCATGTCTGTCTACCTATTAACCAACTTCTTTTACAGTGAAATCAGTTTTATTGGAAGACAAACGAGTTATGCTACATTCACAGTTTAAAGTGTATCAAACGAGAACTTTGAATCTCCTGAGAGTGTAAATTATGTCAGCAACCACCAGTGTCATTGAATTCCCATTTCACTTTCATCGTACTGACCCCCTGTCCCCGTCTCCAAATTTTCAAAACAAGAAACGAAGGAAGGCAATTGGGCAATATAAAAGAATTACTGAGACATTATCTAGGGTGTTGCAATCTAAATAGATAAGTGAGATTCAGTTGAAGAATTCTGTTGTTAGGAAATATCAAGTTAGCTTCGGAAAAAAAATTATTTTTGTGCCTGGCTCAGAGAAAAAGAGCCTATTTCAATTATTGTTGATCCTGTATTTGGCCACCAACCAACCCTTATAGTGGTATAAAATTTTACCATCATCCATTGGAAAAATATATTATACTAAGAGGGTATGACTAACTTGGAAAGTGTAAATGCTTATAGTTGGCAATAGACTGATGTCAACATGTGATCATTCTTATAGACACTTTAGGCTTTTTTTCAGTCATTTACAGTATGAGATTTCTATTTCTCTCCATTTCTTAATCATATGCCTACAGAGGTTCAAGTTATACATTATTTAGCTAAACCATAATGTATTTTGCTTAGATTTAGCTGAGAATGTAAACTATGAACTCTGTCAAATAATGAGCTCGATTTAAACAATACAGTAGTATGACATAAGCCTGGTTAAAGTAAAACTCTATTAATGTCTGAGATTTGGTATCTCTCTCATCCCTCTATCAGCTTTTGGAAAAGAAATACAAACTGAAAAAAACACGCACCAAAGGATATCAAAGGATTATTATCTTGGCAGTCACCAAATTGGCCAGAGACTTCTAGAAAGAACTCAGGCACATTCGTTCTTCTTCCTTCCTCTTTACACAATTAGCTTCCTTCCCCCATAAAGAAAAAAAAAAAGAAAGACTAAACATATTAAAGATTTGTCAACTCTACACAACAGGAAAAAAGAGACCTCATTTTAAGAGGTCCTGACCCTGCTTTCTTTGGAGTGCATGGGTTGTTTTATAAGTCTATGGTGATTTATTCAATCTGGTAGAATGCAGGCCAGCTCATACTGGGTTATTTAACATGGGGAATGTTTAGAATGTGCACTTTTCCTTCTCATGCAATAAATTGAAAGTCCTAGTTTTGATCAGCAACAAGAGCTTGGCATGAGGCACAGATGCTTTCTAAGGCTGCGGAGGACAAGCTGCTATAATTTTTCTTCTCTAAATTCAGTGTTGAGTTTCAAACTATAGGAGAGAATCCAGTTTTTCTATCTGAAAGTATCCCTAAGTGGTGTCTACACGTTCGTTTAGTTCAGAAGACATAGTCGAACTATATTAAGGCCATTTTTGAAAGCACAACTCTTTATAAAATATTGCTATTGGTATTATTATAATTTTGAACTCAAATAAATCTCCTTATAAATGCTAGAGTCCAGGCCTGTCAAACTGGCGGCCTGCAGGCCAGATGCATCATGCACAGGCCACGCCTATCCCAGCTCCGCAAAGGCAAAAATATCACGATACAGCACGATATATCACATGATATAATTGAGTTTGATACCTGTGTGCTAAACAAATGAGGAAAGTACTGTAGAAGCTTTTTCTATTGCCATAATACAACCTAGCAGAAGTAAATTGTAACAATATGTAATTGAAATCAATGAGAGTAAATGCACTGATTACATTTTTAAGCAGATTTAACTGGAGCATGAAGTCCTTTTGATAGCCTGAATTTCAAATCTTCAAGCTCTGCCCAAAATTTATCTTGCTTTGGGAGAAAGGGGATACTAAAGAAATATAATGAATGATAAGCCAAATAATAATTTCTTTTAACAGCCTTCAGAGATGATTTTGAATGTCATGTGTAGTAATCCAAGGTTATTCTGAATAAAAAGGAAAATGCAGTGGCAATCACCTACTATGGTGGAAAGAGACATAAAACATTCTGGATGCCTACTTAACAATGAAATAAATATGTAAACAACTCACAAAACATGAAATGGGTGTTGACTGTCACATATATCATGTATTCGTATGTTCTACAGAAGAAATAGTACAGCTGTCAAAGGGTCAATGGGGGAAAAAACTTTGCTCCGTGTTCATATGAAATTGGGAATGCTATAATTTTTCTGGTGTGTAATACAGAGATCGTGAGAAAGCAAACAGGCAAGACTCCCTTTGTTTTCTGTGCTTCTGCAACTGGAAAATCTAACAGGAGTCTTTGTTCTTGTAGGGAACAGGATATATTTCCAGGAAGACAAATAAACCAAGATGTCACTTGTTTTGTGATCTTCTCTGGGGCTTATTCAGCATAGCATCTGCCCGAAAAATTGTCCTAGTGCACAATGACATGCTAAGAAATCCCTTGGTTAACTTGTCACAAGCAGAAAAGAGCAATTTCTCCGAAGATAAAGAAGAAACACATTAACTCCTGCCCTGTCACCAGCCCCCTGCCTGGAGTTTTTAAAAAAGGACAATCATTCCCTATTTGAATACACTTAGGGTTTTTCTGTCCTGTCCAACCTCACAGCACAGGCTTTGTTAATTACAGCAAAACCTCTCAAGGTTCATTGATTGGTTCAAAGATTCTTTGGGACAAAAAAAGGGGGGAGGGAGGTGTACTTACAGGCAGATAATTAGTAGCAGCCTCTGGAGCTGGGATGGAGAATCATATCCATGTATGAATGGGTAACCAGGTATTCTGCTGGAAGAGAAGGGGGCGTGCGGTTAGCCAGGGAATCCTTGCGTCTGTGCACTCTGGAGTCCTTTCCCACTGTCTGTGTGGTGTGGAAGCAGGCGTCTGCCTTCACAGCCTAGTGAAAAACCCCTGTGTATCATTTTACCATATATGGAGAGAAAAGCACCGAGATACTCACTCTCTGTGCTCAAAGCAGCTGGCATTCTCTGAAGGAGTCACGCCTGTCCACACTTACCTCTCTCTCGAGTCATCACCCTGCCTTTGATCAGTTCCACTCCACGGTGCTTTCAATCATCGTAGTCGTCGTCATCACCATCATCGGGCTCCCTACTCCTGCATTTATTTCCTTGTGGTAGATGGGCCTAAGCATTTGAAATCTTTCTTTCTAAGCAATACCCTGACTGAAGCAACCGCAATTTGCATCAGAAAGAAAGCAAGAAGTTCACAAATCAAGTTGTTCAATATTTGCTTATGTGTCCAGGCCCTCTTCTTTATTAACCTTACACCTCTTCACCTACTTAAGGTCATAAACAAGAGGATGATGATATTGGATTGCTCGTGCTTTACTGCCCTTTGCAAAGAAACCCAATCTCTGGAGGAGCCTTCCTTCATCCAGATGTTGGTGAAAATTGGTGGACAACAAGGATGGGCAAGGGCCATATGTCCCAGAATTCAATGAATTAAATCTTCCCTCCCTTCCCCTCCTCTCCCTTCCCCTCCCCTTTCTTTTCTAAACATTTTTAAACCTCACAATAGGTGAAGCTTATCTGGGTGGTTTACAATAAACACACCAAAAAGGAAAACAAATAAGACACCATCAAACTGGGCAGCAGCAAAGGGGCAGTTCTTGACTTACACCACAACTGAGCTCTAAATTAATGATTGCCAAGTGAGATATTTTTTTTAAGTGAGGTTTTGCCTCATTTTGCAGCCTTTCTGGTAACAGTTTTTAAGTGAATCATTGCGGTTGTTAAATTAGTAACAGGATTGTTAAGTGAATCTGGCTTCCCCGTTGATTTTGCTTGTCAGAGGACGTCATATGACCTGTCATAAATATGAACCCATTTCCAAGCATCTGAATTTTAATCACATGATCACGGGAAAGCTGCAACTATCGTAAGTGTTAAAAAAAAAGTCACCCATAAGTCACATTTTTCAGTGCTGTTATAACTTCAAAATATCACTAAATGTAAGTTGATGAATATCAATAGTCAACATCTAAAACAATATGAATTAAAATATGAAAAGATCAGAGTATGGTTAAAAAGCCTGGGAAATACAGGTAGTCTTTGACTTACAATAGTTCATTTAGTGACCATTCGAAGTTACAACACCACTGAAAAAGTAACTACCTATATATATTTTTTCCGATTACAGTTAGACTGCTTTCCATCCATCACTGAGCTGGCAGATATGTCAACATCAAATTTTTTGTTCCCATTTTTCATCCCTTTTCTTTCTCTTCTATGTCTTTTCCCAAACATGACCCATGATCTGACTTTCCTCCAAGTTAATGTGAGAACAACCCTATTCAGCTTGAAGTTGCCCTTGGAAGGCTACTGAATACATTTTCTGATCAGAAAAATCAGCTTTTCTCTATCCTTGCCACACTGGTCCCATCATTCATGTGCATTTAATCAGTATAACATAAGGGAGGTAGTTTCTTGTCTAGGGCTAAGAGATTAGAATTGCAAAAATTCAGATCACAATTAGATGGAGGGCTTACAGTGTCTGTATCTCTTTCACTGTCATCTTTTCTTTTCTTTTTTAAATCTAGAGTGGTAGTTCAGTGCTTTTCACATTTGCATTTTTCTAATTTATACATTAGAGTTTCATTCAGATGCTTTACCCTTTGAGAAGAAAACAAGGATAGCTACTATTAAAATCCATTCATTTCAACTAGTGGAACATTAAGGAGTTCTTTCTCCCCAGTATTCTCATCCACTTCTAAGCACATGCAGTATTTATTTCTATGAAATAGTCTAGAAAATAAGTGAGATTTGCCTTCCATATACTGCTGAATGGAATACAACAATAATGCTATTTTCCTATATCACTAGGACCTCCAAGGTCACATCCAGCCCTGTGATTCTAAGGGGAAAGGGATGATGAAAGCATGTTCTCCATAGGTGAAGCATTATGAAATATCCAGACATTTGAATGATGCAGTGGTGGGATTCCATTTTTTTTACTACCAATTCTATGGACATGGCTTGGTGGGCATGACAGGGAAGGATACTGTAAAATCTCCATTGCCTCCCCACTTGTGGGGGAAGGTTGCTGCAAAATCCCATTCCCTCCAGTGGCGGGTTTCAATTTTTTTTCACCACCGGTTCTGTGGGTGTGGCTTGGTGGGCATGTTTTGTGCATGCACGCAGAGGGTTTCTACTGACCTTCCCCTGCAATCCTGCATTCTCCCTGTGTCTTCAACAGCTGATGTGCAGAAATCCGCTGCACTGCGCACTTCAAAACCAGGAAATAAAGCTTCAAAACCAGGAAATAGAGGTCAGTATAGAGGCCAGCAGCTGATCATCGGAGCGAACAGGTTCGCTCACAGATGATCCTCGGAGCTACCGATCTGGCCGAACTGGGCCGAACCGGTAGAATACCACCTCTGATTTTCTCCCCAACCCACTAACCTGCTTTCCAGCTCCGTTCTCCTGTGCAGGACAACAAAAGAAGACCCAGCCAATCAGCTGGGACTCAGGAGGAAGAGAATAAATGGGGGCAGGGCCAGTCAGAGGTGGTATTGGCCAATTCTCCGAACTACTCAAAATTTCTGCTACCAGTTCTCCAGAACTGGTCAGAACCTGCTGTTCAGCACCTCTGGAATGATGTCATAGAAAGGAATTTTTCTGAGGGAAGTCAAAGCTTTGTTTCAGTTTGTTTTAACCACCTATTTTCTGGTAAGTACTCAGTGCAGTTATGTTTTTTAAAGTAAAATATTTTTTCTTTAAAAAAAGGAAAGATTTAAATTATTCTAAAATTGACACTAAAACCAATTAACCGTTGAAAGTCTAGTGAGGGAAGTTCTGCCTCTACGGATTTTCTGAACAGAGAGTGGGGGGGACAAGTGTGCCCTTTTAAAAAGGTGGCTGAGGCAATGTAAGAGTAGATTCTCTAGTACAGGTAGTCCTCGACTTACAACAGCTCATTTAGTCACCATTCAAATTTACAACGGCACTGAAAAAAGTGACTTATGACCGTTTTTCACACTTACAACCATCGCAGCATCCCCGTGGTCACATGATCAAAATTCAGACGCTTGGCAACTGATTCATATTTATGATGGTTGCAGTGTCATGTGATCAGTTTTGCGACCTTTTGACAAGCAAAGTCAATGGGAAAAACCACATTCACTCAACAACCATGTTACTGACTTAACAAATGCAAAGATTCTCTTAACAATCGTGACAAGAAAAGTCATAAACTCACTTAACAAATGTTTCACTTAGTAATATAAATTTTGGGCTGAATTGTGGTCATAACTCAAGGACTACCTGTACCAAAAGAAAAAAAATAGGACTTCTGTAGCTGGGAATTGTTACAAGATCTTTGCTTACCAATCTTAACAGCTGGACAGGTTCATGATGGGACAGGTGTTCCTTGGTATCCACATTTTCACTAATGGTCAATAGCCATGTAGAAACCACTTCATATCTAGGCAACAAATTTTAGACTTTGCACCAGGGCATTGAAGGACTGGGACAAGAGGCATTAGCTTGTTCTCTGGACAATATTGGTGTCAGCGTTCCGGGGAAAATCCATTCCTGTCAGTAACTCCAAGACAACCATAATCTCAAAGTACTTTTATTAGAACAGAACCTGGCACATTCTGTGGAAATCCAAAACTAAAAGTTTCCCCTGGACTTCCCACAAGATCCCGACCTAGAAACCATCCCCTTTTTTCATCATCACATCACATGAACCAATCCCAATTTCAGTTCCAATTCTTTCCGCGCCACGCACTACCTTGAATTAAACAAAATAATTTATTTTGTCTACTAAGAGCTACTCAATTAATATCACCCCTCCCATTTCCTAAGCTATGTGGCAGTGATGAATTATGATTTCATAGCTGACAATTGGTCTGATCAGGATAATGGGTAAGGCAAATGAACATATAGCATTCTGGTAGGGTGGTGACAACTCCAGGCACTTCCTGGCACTCAACCATTGCTTTTTTTAATGAAGACTAAAATGGAATGCAATGGACTTTGTACACTAGTAGGAGCACTGTATTTCGGGAAGGAAGGGGGAGAGGGGAGGGAAGCAACATCTGTTGGCAGAAGATCTGAAAAAGGTAATTAGAACTGTGACCTTGACAGCTTGGTACAAAGCAACGATTAAGAACAAATGTAAACCAATTTTAAACACCTTCTTTTCCTAGTATGATAGTAGATCAAACAGATTTAAGAACTGAACATATACCCAGGTATATATTTTATGTATTTAAAAATGGGCTGGGATACCATCACGTGGTTGCAGCTGCTATGCCTTTTCTGGGGGTCTCTGTAGATGCCCCTGATTTCTTCCAGTTGCTAGGCAACACAGAGAGAAAGCAACCAGGACGGCAGCTTTTATGACTCTTCTTACTAAATATGTTACAACTTGAAGAAGAAAGCTTGTACTTCCTTTTCATGATTCCAGCACATTTGTGACATTGTAATTACTATATACAGGGCTTATTCCCCCCTCCCCATTTTAAAAGTAAAAACAACAATAGGAGGGAAGGAGCAGAGACTAGATGATGAAAAGTTTTTCTCTCCTTTTCTGTTCAACTTTCCACACTGTCACAAATGTTATTTTTGTTTCTCCCATGGAAAAGATTCCGCTTCTCTTATTAATTTCCATTCAAGGAATGAAACTGCTGAGAGTCCCTCACCCTTTTGCTTAAATTTTCAGGCCCTTGTATGTAATTTTTATTTTTTTAAAAAACAAATGTCAGCAGAAAAATGGCTATATCTTCTCAAATGGTTGCATCCTACAATTCTCACAATAACCAG